AGGACACAGAAATGAAAACAAGGGAAAATTAGATTACCTTAGAACAACCAAGTACCTTATTATCATAATCCTCATAATTAAAGATACATAAATACATAATATCAAATGAATACAACATTACTGCTCTAGCCTTTAAGCTGCCCTTATGCCCCCTGTGTACCCAAAGACAAAGTAATGAACAGAGCAGAGACCATGTCATCCAAACCTATGATAAAAGATAGAAAAATAAAATAACATGTAGTCAACCCAGGTCAAACTTTAAAAAAAATATATATATTCCTATTACATATTCCTCCACTTTTCACATCATTACGTGTCTCATTCATGAACAAAGTTTTTCCTGCAATAACAAATGCATCTGTTCTTCTCAACGCAACTTAGGAAAGTAGCAGAAATAGAAAGAGAAAGGGAAGCAGACACAGGGAGAGAAAGAGAATTAGAAAGAGAAAGAGAAAGAGAAAGAAGAAAAAGACATAGACAAGACAGAGAGAGAGAGAGAGAGAGATAGAATGAATGCATACTTTATAAACAATCACTCAATACTGCATGGTTGCAGGCAAGATTCCATGCCAACACTCATAAATGCTTTGTGCTGTATTTCAAGTCTCTAACCACCTGCTTACAAACCCCAAAGAATGCATTAAGGAACCATACAAAGAGCTTTCATTCTGTACAAATGATCTCATGGGCTGGTTTCTACTATTTTGAACACACAAGCTAGTGGTTAACGCAGTCTAAGAGCAGGGTCTTTAGTCCATTCCACAATGTTGAATCAGATCACAGTAACATTTGTTCTGGCATTATGGCCATTACATGTAATTCTTCAGAAAGGAAGATCCTAAGCTTTCTAAAAGATACTATGCCATGCTTTCTCATTGTGCCTCACAAGTATATCATTCAAGATATTAATTCAAGACTTATCTGCCAGTTTAGTGAATTATGAATTATATTAACCAATCAGTAATCACTCTTCTTTCTGACTAAAACCTTATATAAGAGAAATGGAATCATATATACTTCACTCTTGAAGCAATCATACTGTTAAAATTTTCTGAAAAGAATGCTCAATTCACTACTGGAGAATCCTGGTTAAAGACCTATTCATGTCTCATTTCTAAAATAATCCTCCCCTGCCCCCCCAAAAAATACAACTCCTTTATGTCAATATTAATGATAATAATAATAATAATGATTATTATTATAATATGTTTTTGTATCTTATAAGCAACAGATCTTTATGTAAATCCAAAATACTACCTACTGGAAACAACTACAACAAATCTGTAAATGCCAAAATGAAACCAATAATAACAAGACCAAAACCATCCCATTGCTAATACATCCTACAGATTCTTGAGAAAGGCAGTACATCCAGAGCCTCACTCTTCATACATATTTGGCATGCACCTTTGTTTCCACTAGTGTGCCTTTGCATGTTTGCATCTGCATGCTGAGCCTTAGACATTACCATTTTTTCAATTACACAAAACAATATATACATATAATTATTCAACACAAGCTCTAATGTACAGACAGGTACAACTATATCCTAATACTCCCAAAACCATAATATCTATTCATTACACATATGCTAATACTCTCAATACCATAATCTCAGTGTCTTATCTACCATAAAATGAACCCATTCCATTAAAATCTTCACAAAGAGGTATTTCCAAATGACAAACTCATATTCCATCCAACTCTGTGGAACTGTCAGCAATGTATAATTACTGATATTCATGTGCCTTATCAAAGTTTCAAAAATGCTTACATCAACCAACAAACAAAATGCAACTAACAACCAAAAAACAAACAAAAAAAACATACACTGCTTTTATCTTTCCTCACTCAAATTTTTTCGAAGTTAAGAGTAATTTAACATATAAAAAACCTACTTTAATCTGACTTGAAAGTAACAGCAAAATGATGCAACTGGAGCATGAAGTTGCCATAATAACCACGTGCCACATAACCCACATGTGAGGTATCAATCCGAGTTGCAACACTGTTTTCTTTGACCCCTTGGATCCGGGTGCTTCAATCACATGGCCCAAAATACAGGTATTAGGCTTATGTGAGTGGCCACTCTGATCAGTGCATGGTTTGTAGGCCATGTGCACTCAAACACTCATATGCGGTAACAAGACTCCATTCCTCCCCTCTGCAATGCTATTTTCTCTTAATATGCATAAGTATCTTTGTTTTTTTTTTGTTTTTTTTCATTTTCCAATGTCCATATTTGTCAATTGATTTGCTTTATCCAGCTGGTAATTAATTGTTTTCCTTGCACAGACTCCAGATCATATCTCTAGGTAGTTTACAACTCAGTGCAAGAATAATAACAATAAGTAACATTTTCTTGCTTGTGTCATTTTATCTATATATATATTCTTTTTGTAATATTCAATTTTCTGTGGCCAGGAATAGGATGTTGAGCATGGAAACAGCACCCTCCCTGAAGCCAATGCTCTTCCAGTCACGACTCACAGACACTGCATTCCACATTCGCTTATCGATAGAAATAATGCAAAAGCCCCTTTCTAAATGCCAAAGGAGTCTAACCTCTCTCCAAGAGGTTTATGCACTTGTAGCAAGTCTTTCCCATCACCCTAGTCTTCAGCCAAAAAATGCTCATGACAGTAAGTTTCCATCACCCCGCCCCACAGCCACAGATTTTCCCACGACAGCATATTTATGTCACCCACCCCTCAACCCAAATTTTTTATGACGTGATGGTCACATCATCTGGATCGAAGGGGTTAACCATATCCACACAAAATCAAAACTAGAATTGCGCTTCAATGAAGAGATATAAAAGTAATCCACTGTATCTAATATCTGGTAAGTAAAGCATTCACTCGAAGACATTTACATTCTTAATATTTGCTCAGAGCATTGAGCAGTTGTCGTAAACAAAAATGAATTGAAAGACCTATTCATGTACTAAACAATAACCATAAAAGAGCTGAATCGAGTGGTAATGCCATATATGAGGTTTAGGACAGGCAATTGTATTTGTGGGTCAAAGGTTATATCTATTGTAATAAATACCTTATTATCATATTTTTTTTCTACCCCCACAATTATTATATTTCCTTCTCTTTTCATAAAACCCACAAAGATTACCAATCTCATTTTCTTGAAGATTTTTAATTTCTTACTTTGTTCAGTGAATACTAAATATGCAAAACAAATTTCACCTAATTGTCAATTATAACAACTTCCTAAAAAAAAAAACTGACATTACTTACTTTGTTGCATTTTTTTGGTAACCTTGTGAGCTTCTTGTCCCACAAAGGTGAGCAAAATACTGAAAGAAGAAATAGAAATATCTGTACTACAGGACTGTAACAGGTATACTAATACTGTGAGCATGTAGTAAGTTTTCCAGTTAATTTAATGAAATAAAAGTAAAACAGTAATAATTACACCACAGTTTAGTAATCTATCTGATAATAATAATTGCTTTCGCTATCTTGAATAACATGGTAGCTATTACCATATCTACAAATCAACCAGACTGTCAAACTTTCAAAACAGCACAAATTACAGGAGCCTCACTTTCATTAACGGTATTATAAAAAAAACTGGAAGTAACTGAAAATAACTGCATATCAGATTTATTGCTATCATTATTTTAAATGTCGAAGATTTTTTTTTATCTCAATTATATAATAATCTAAGCCATCTATAGAAAGTGTTTCACTTTTAAAGCTGTCTATCTGAGTAATTCCATTATCTTAGAAATCCAAGTACCATCATGAAATCCACCTAAGAACCAACATAATAATAATTTTCCATATCCAAATCATGCAAGCCACCTACGCAACTACATGGACAGCATCCTTACCGCATGACTATGCATGAACAGAGGCAGATATTCTCTCTCTAAGAGATTATAAGCATGCTCATACGCCTGGAAGAGTGGTCGAGTTGTACGTAGCTTCACTATATCTCCCACTTCTCCGTGAACAACTGGAAAAGGGGGGTGTGTAATGTAAAAGGCTGATGATTCAGTTTCATCTGATTACACTACTCAGACTGAAAACTCAATAGTATAATATCAAAAGATTACTAATTTGTTAAAAATCCTGAAAATGCAATACCGTGTTGCCATGACTATGTAAGCCTGATTCCCTATCACATTAACTTCAGTTGGAACTTCAGATTAATAGCAAGAATAAAGTTAAATGCACTGTCATATATGAGGGAGGGGGAGAGAAAAGGAAGGGGGGAGACAGAGAGAGAGAGAGAGAGAGAGAGAGAGAGAGAGAGAGAGAGAGAGAGAGGAGAGAGAGAGAGGAGAGAGAGAGAGAGAGAGAGGAGAGAGAAACAGGAGAGAGAGGGAGAGAGGAGAGAGAGGAGAGAGGGAGAGAGAGGAGAGAGGAGAGAGAGGGAGAGAGAGAGAGAGAGAGAGAGAGAGAGAGAGAGAGAGAGAGAGAGAGAGAGAAGAGAGAGAGAGAGAGAGAGAGAGAAGACGAGAGAGAGAGAGACAGGGAGAAGAGAGAGGAGAAGATAGAGAGAGGGAGACAGATAGAGAGAGAGAGACAGATAGAGAGAAGAGACAGATAGAGAGAGAAGAGAGAAGAGAGAAGAGAGAGAGAGAGAGAGAGAGAGAGAGAGAGAGAGAGAGAGAGAGAGAGAGAGAGAGAGAGAGACAGACAGACAGAGAGACAGAGAGACAGAGAGACAGAGAGACAGAGAGACATAGAGACATAGAGACATAGAGACAGAGAGAAAGAGAGAGAGACAGAGACTTACTTTCTCTTATATGTGAAACTATATGAGATGGGAAGTTGATCCTGTCAACGGCCGAGGACACCATGTAAGTGTGGTACAGTTCCAAAGCCTCATGATGGAACTGTTCGAGCTGCTCTGGCGTTAAGTCAGGGTCCAGGATGTGGCGGTTGAAATCCTCTATAAACAAGATAATACGAATCAATGAATGAGGAAATGCACATCAGATCACTCTTATCTATTTTTACATTTAGGCAGAACATTAAATAAATAAGCATGGGTTAGGTTCGATTGTGGTGTACAATATGAGACTGTGGTTCAATTCTACAGATTAAACTGCACCGGAATGCATCGGGTAAGTTGACCTGCATTGACAGTGGACGTGAGATCAGGTTTCATGAGTCTGGGTTATGAACTGCACAGAGATGAGTAAAGCATAGGAAGATAGGAAGACTGTGTATAAGCTGTACTCATCTGGGGTTAGGCATCACCAGGATTTGGGGTTGGTTGGAGTGAAATTGAGTAAGAATAGGATAAGTTGAGCACGTACCGACAGCTAGACAGAACTGCAGAATGTTAATAGCTCCTTCCTCCTTCAGGAAAGTGTGGAATAAATAAAGAAGATTTTGATCCTTCAGCACAGAAGACAAGTTGCTCCTCAAGACCTGAAAGATGTTATGTTATGAAGAGTCAAGTATATTCATTCCATTTCTTAATATTATAGAAACAAGTAAAAAAAAGAAGAAGAAGAAAAAAAAAAAACAATTTACACTTCAAAGTAACATACACAAAATAGATTATACCAGTACAAGTAATTTCTTCCAAGGAAAACAAAACAAAACAAAAAATTCACTGAGGCATTTCACACACACACAACACAGATAATACAGAATTCACATAAAAATATAGCATTTCTAATGAAAACAACAGTATTACTACACTACACACAATGACAATAATGCCACCAGGCCTGAGCTACACCACAAGGGTTCCTCAAGTCACTTACAGAGTTGCGGGGGTGAGTATTGACTGAAGCAAAGTTCTTGAGCAGCAGGACCTCTGGCTCGGGCTTGTGGGGCAGCCAGGGCGAGGAGTCCCGGCTCAGCAGCAGCAGGAACAGGAGGTTGAGGGTGTCTGGGCTGGCCAGGAGGTCCATCGCTTGCAGGAGCAGCACCCGCCCTAAGAGTTCCTCCAGGAAGGCTCGGGCCAGGCTGCGGTTCGAATCGTCAGGTTGTGAATCTTTCCATGTGGCTACAATCTCTGCCAATTATTCCATCTATAAGTCCAATTTAATCTCCAAACTATCGAACTCCCCCCCGACCATACAAACCTGCTAGCCTGGTACTTGGTGGGCAGCAAGTAGGGGATGACCGTGCCAATGACCCCCCTGAGGTACGCTGCCTCATCCTCCCTTGATTTAACCGCTCGGTGCAGCCCCCCCCCAGCCCTCAGGTACTGGATGACAGCCGCCTCCTGGGATGTGTTCCCCCGCACGCGCCGACCCCCTTCGACATAGCTATCCAGGTGGTTGATTAGGGTCGGCAGAAGCTTATCAATGATGATGATTGTCAAGTCAATCTGGTGAATTGTGTAGGAAAAGAAAAATCTATATAAATACATATACATAACTGTATATTGATAATAAATAATCATGATTTTTTTTCTAATTATAATCTAATAATTTTTCTAGATTTCTTTTATCTGTGAAAGTATTCCTTAGACCAGGGGTGTCAAACTTATGGCCAGCAAGCCAAATGTGTCCCTCAAGGATGGTCATAAATAGTTTAAAAGAATAATTATTAGCTTGTACAAATTATGATTATCACGAAGGAATGATATATGACTAAGAGAATGAAAATTTTTCCCCCCCTTAATAGCAATAGCTTCATCTATTAAGCACATACACAATATTGGTCTGTAATACCATATTTCTGGGAACTCTCATATGTACCTTTGTTAGCCTTCTAAACTGTAGCTGAAAGGAAAATTAGCCCTGAAGGGTTTTGAGATTGGCATCCCAGCCCTAAAACATTACGGACATGTGATATTAAGCCCTAAAACATTAAGGACGTGTGATAATGCATTCTGACACTTTCATTCACACAGTATGCCAGAAAACAGTTTTGTTCTGTGATATATTTCAGTCTCTTCTTATAGATCTCCACCTGTAGTATATACTTTATGATAACTGGCCACGAGGAAACCCCCTATATACCTTGGAGAGTCTGCTGGCCAAGGAAGCAACAGCATATCTGATGATATAGCGAATCTCATCTGCGAGCTGGTCGTGAATGGAAATTTCTCTGTACCAGCTGTACACATGGTGGTCTAGCGTTAAGTTCAGCAACTGCAAAGAACATGAAGTTAGTTAGTTGGCTGGTTATGAAATGGTTTACTTCCCTGTTAGAAAAAATTTAAAACTAGAATGAAAAATGGTTACCCCTCCATAACAGATCTAAAAAGGATATGAATTTTCAAATAAAAACAAAGGTCTGAAATAACCCAAAATATCTATATTTCTTTGTAAAATATCTCAATTCCAATGTTATAGTGTTCTTACATACTATAAATGTCCTGACATAGTAAAAGAAAACATCATTTCAGTGAAATATATAGCACAAATGCAGATCAGATACTGAGCAAAACAGTGAAAAGAACCCAAGAAGATACACAAAAATCCCACACATGACTACTTAATATCTAATATAGATATTAGATATCATATCTACACACACTCATTGAGTAAGTCTCAGTCAAGAG